AGGGTTTGGGGTTCAGGGTCTACAGGAGGTTTTGGAGTTGCTACGCAAAACATGCAGCACAAGTGTCTTGGGGTACGTACCCTGGGTTCTCAGTTTTGGAACTACCCTTGCGTCCCAGGTAATTCCTGTGAGGGAGTCAAGGAATGCGTTCTTAGAATTCTTGTGCAGGGAGTACGGCAAAGCCTGTAGGATGTTGCAGGCAAAAGGTCATGATCCTTGCCCGTACACCAAAACTAGGTGACAATTGGGATAATTACTATAAGTGGCCTAAGGGACCCTATTTAAAAAATGTTGCCCCCCCCCCCCCCGGTAAAGTATGCTCTCTACTGTATTAATCACCAAGCAGAACTTGCCTAATTAGCATAGCAGTCGAAGCCAGGAAGCGATGAAAGGTTTACTCGCTCACGTTCAAATTGGGTGTAGGGTCTTGATCATGCCATTTGAGGCGCACGCCAAACCCTAAACCGCGGGCCCCAGACACATCAACCTGCAACCTATCTTGCAGAATGGAATCGTGTTTGGCCTCGCCTACACGAGGCTCCTATTGATATTATGAACTACCCAAAGCCATATTCTACCTACCTAAGGGGAACAATACCCTAAGCCCTAAACCCTAAGTAGTAGTTTCCATATTCTTTTCCGTTATGGGTCTTCAAGCTTCTACAGTAAGATCGTATCAAGGACGTGTCTTGGGCAGATCGACACATTGCTCTTGTGATGAGCTCTGCACCTGTGCCGGCGGCCATGCCAAGTCAGCAGGTCATCCGTTAGGAGGACCCCCCCACCCCGTAATAGTGATGTGAGCTATAGGCTAAACTCCTTAAAGGGGGGTTATATAGGGGCTTATATAGGGGACTACTATAAGGGTTATTAAGGGGGATACTAGGAGTTTAGACTATGGCTCATGTAATAGGAATATAAGAGGACCCTAATATAATCCTACTTTTTTCCATTATAGTCACTATTACTGGGTGGGGGGTCGACCTAAGGCATCCGGGAGTTACTCAACAAAACCCTCCCTATATTATTCTCCCCCACAGGCCTGGCAAGATCTCCTTGCATTACCTACGAAGCCCAAAGCCCTAAAACCCCAAAACCGTGAAACCCTAAAACCACCAAGCTCCAAAAACCTTAAACAACAAAAGCCGAAAACCTTCTTTTTTTGAGCAGCAACATCATCTGGCGCTTGGGGGACTAAGGGTTAGTTTTGATGGCCCGGGAGTCCTCTTAGGTTCCGAAAACGAGAAAAAACGATGATAGTGGCGCTGCTAACATGTGGGTAGCTCCCAAAATTAGGGTGCCATTTCGGTACCTCTATATATCGGCCGGGGGGGGGGGGGGGGGCGTGCCGCAATATACACTAGAGCCCAAAGGGCCCATAATTCTGAGAACAACCCATGCAAACACGATCATGAAGGATACCTCACAATGCTAGCAACAACAAGCATTCCGCAGATGGTGGGAGTACTTATGATGCATGTGATGGCCGCGAGTTCGCTAATGCAAATACTACTTCAGTTGGTCTTGGAGTCTTGGATTGCTATTCTTTGAACTGTGTTTGCCTTTAGGCTGTGTATCTTGAAGCGTTGAAACGGCTCTGAAGGCCAACCAAACTAAAACCCTGGCACTGGGACTTAGGATCCTGTACATAAGCTATAGTCTAAACTCCTTAAAGGGGGTTACATAAGCGACTATATAGGGGACTACTATAGGGTATATTAAGGGGGATACTAGGAGTTTAGACAGTGGCTCACATGGGGTTTCTCAAAAATGCCACTCTCGAAAGCCCAGCAGGATCACCACAATCAATCCTTCTGTAAGACTCTTGAGGAACTCCCACGTCACCCGCTCATCGCAGCAACTGTTGCTATCCATTGGAAGTTGACAGTTGAGCGGACTGTAGTCCTCCTTGAATAGATAGAATATGGCTTAGGGTACATTATAATAAGATCCCCATATACACTATATTCTATCTACTTAAGGGGGACTATAGACGAAGGGACTTTTATAGGAGCCCAGGGCTGTATACTGCTTGATGGTGTGTATGTTCTCAAGCTTGAAGCTATAGTATCCGTTAAGTAGATAGAATATGGCTTTGGGTATATTGTAATAAGATCCCCATATACCCTATATTCTATCTACTTAAGAGGGACTATAGTTCCATGTACACTAACCCGGAATCTTGAGCCTTTGCTCTGAGCTTTGCAAGCGCTAAGCCCAGATCTTCCACATAGCTGGGCTTTTTCAAGCGACCTCACCCGATCTCACCCTAAATGGTGGTTTACATAGGGAGTAGTACCAAGATGACCTTAAGCTTGGGAATTGAAATTGTTCTAAATTTCCCTACCATTGGGATTTCGGTCTTCGGGGCGTAAACAGTTTAGCGTTTTAGGGTTTAGGGTTCAGGGTTTAGGGTTTAGAGTGTAGGGGTTGGGTATGTTTACGGACTGTTTGAAGGGATTGGAGTGGATCCCTGCAGTGGCCCCCCTATGAGTCCTAACAGGTAATTAGCTTCCCTGTGAGCTATAGTCTACTGGGGGGCTATTAAGGGGGGACACTAGGAGTTTAGACTCTGGCTCATGTTCTTTTTCATTCCTTGATTCCCTGCTTTTTCCCGAGCAGGTGGCCCTGACTGTCTCCGATTTCGAGCAGAAGCCACGGGCGACTGGATCGAGTTCAAGGTTTAGTGCCCAAGGGATCCAAGTATACAACTAATACCTACATTGGGCTCTAAAGTCTGTAAAGGTTACCTACATTGGGCTGTTTGGATCCCTAGAAGTGTTCATGATGTGAGTAGTGTTGTATTTGAGGTGCCGCTCATTCCGGATATTATGGAGTATTATGGAGTAATATTACGCGTATTCTTCTTTTGGGACTGGTTTGTTGTAGAAATACGATTATCTTAGATTCTCTTACGTGGTTCCACCACCAACACATGCTACTCGTCTGTAGGGTTAGGCGTTCAGCTTACAGGTGCTGAAGTAGGAGTGGGGAAGTGGACCCATACGACCATTCCTATATAATCCCGACTTATACAGGCTTGACTTTGGAAACTTGAGGCCGGCAAGCTAGGTTCACAAAACAGCCCTACTGATAGAAGTTGTTCAGGTCTTGGGGATGATTTCGTATACCCTAAGCCCTAAAACCACAAACTTAACTCTAAACCCTAGAGTCTTTTCCTCCTTGACAAATGTAGCCAGCTACGCCACACACCCTGTATCTGCCTGGCAGTCAACCTGCAGCACTTTCAACACCCAACCCTGAACCATTTCAGTGTTTTGGGTTTTTTTTTCAGAGTTTGCGGTAGGGTTTGAAGGCCAAACTTTGAAGGTTTTAACCTTAGACCTCAAAGTGTCAGCCCACAAACATCCCTAAACTCTAAACCCCCCAACCCTCAATTTTCAACCCCCTGGATCCCCCGGATCCGCTAAACGACCCCCTAGATCCTTTCAACCCTCTCCACACACTGGGGACCAGAGAGCCCTCCGGCTTCCAAGCTTGCATGGAGGTTCAGGGTGACTATAGCGCAGTGATACCTGGGCTATAGTGATACTAGGAGACTTAGGGGCTTACATTGCGGTTATACGTGCAAGTAAAAGTGCACTATGAGTAGACTTAAATCTGCAAGTACTGGTGGACGGAGGGTTTCTTGCAGGGGTCTGAGGTTTACGGTTCTAAGTCCTAATTCCTGTTGAGCTCCCCGAAACCCTAAACCCCAAAACCTGAACCCTAAATCCTTTACCCTAAACCCTAGACCACGTAACACCTTTTTAAAGAGCCTGTGATGACTAGTCTAAGGCTGCCAGCGGCGAGATCGCCAACAGGGCGGCCCTGGCGCCACAAAACTCCAATGCGCGACTGGGATTGTTGAGGGGATCATATGTGCAGTACTATTTAGGGATTAGGGTTGAGGGATATCACCTCAGATAATGGAGCATCAAGTGGAGCTTCAAGCGGGAACAGGGATTATGGGAATGGAAGCTACTACGTAATACTACGTATGAACCAAAGCGGATTCTATCGGGTTCTTATGGGGATTTACGGGCTTCTGGAGTTTGAGGGCTTTGAGGGGGTTTATGGGTTTGCGGGCTTCAGGGTTCTATGGTTCCCCTAAACCCTAAACCCCAAATCCCTAAACCCTAAACCAGGTTTGCTGTAGGTGTTCCGGGTTTACTCCATCGATCCTCAACCCTAGCTCCTAAAACCTAAATAGGTTTATAGTTGGGGTTTAGGGTTTCGGGTTTAGGGTTTAGGGTTATCATCTAGGGTTATGTGAGGGAGGGGTTATATAAGGATAGAGGTTTATAGTGGGGGTTTAGGGTTTAGGGTTTAGGGTTATCATCTAGGGTTATGTTAGAGGGGGGTTGTATAAGGATAGAGGAAGAATGGAAACTACTATTTAGGGTTTAGGGCTTAGGTGTTCAGCCACAATGAGCTGGCAGGGAAGGCGTAAGCTGATGATCGCCAACTGCGTACTGTAGCTCAAATGTCGGGGCCCAAATAGGCTATGCATGGTGTAGGGTGTGGGGCAGGATAAAGGTTTAGGGTTTAGGGTTATTACCTCAAGAACATGAAATGGCAAGTGGGTTCCTGTAGTTTTTTTGACAGAGGCTTAGAGGGAATCATTGCCAATACTGTCCTCCTGGATTCCTTGCGTGGGTATGGTCTAGGGTACTTCAAGCTGACCTCAACATGACATTGGCACGGTGTTTTTTTAGTCACTTCCAACCCAGGTTCTTCAGGTTTAGGGTAAACCCTAAACCCTATGTGGCCCCCCCGCCCAGCAAAAATGACTATCAGCTGCCATGGTTTCTGTAGTAGGGTCCTCTTCTTATCTTCCAATTATGTCACTATCGCAGGGTAAGAGGTCCACTTAGCCCTAAACCCTAAAACGCAGCTTGTGTGAAGATTATTCTGAATTGTGGGTCCAAACAAACAGGAACTTCATCCCCGAAGCTTGGAAGTTAGAAGGGAATTTCCAGAAACTAAGATCCGTGCTATGTACCATAACGCTACCATAGGCCCCACCCAATACGCGCGTCCCTCTGCCCCCAAAAGGGACACCTTGTTTTATCCCCAATATTTCCACGAGTGTACACTTCACATATATGCGATAGCCCTGACTCTAAGAACCCCCCTTCTCCCTCCCAGAAATCCAAGGTTTTGAAAACCCATATGCTTTAGACATCACCGTTTAACAGGGCTGGTGGAGTGTCGGGGCCGCCCATCTAGAATTATCTTCTCTCTTTCAGGGGCATAGCATCCAAAGATGATATCCATACGGCCATAGTGTCCATGTAAACTCTGAAAGCCTTAGGCCTTCAGACTGGCCTGCAACTCAACGTTAGCACTCTAAACTCCCCTCCCTAAACCCTAAACCCTTAATGCCCCTAAACCCCTGAACCCTCAACCCTAAGGCAGTGCACCACCATCGTGGTCTACTTCGTCCCCAAGGATGACCGGGCAGTAATGGAGCCTGCAGCCAAGAGAGCCAAGAAGGACACTGAGGGTACCCTTTGGGGGTCCCTATCATAAGGATTACAGTATTTAGGGGTCTATATTGGGGTTCCCTTATTTTGGGAAACTACCATATATCCTAGGGCTTAGGGTTTAAGACTGTCAGGGCTAAGGGTTGCTGGTTGCTTTCTCCTTCTTCTGACCATCTACCACTCAAAAGCACTCCTTCATCAATGAATTTGTGCTTACCCAAAGCCATGTCACAGAAGGCTACTAGGTTTGTGAGGTTTCGTTGCTGCATGATGCATGCTGCCTGCACCGCACCTTTTCTTCGGGATACCTCCCAATGCAGTTAGCCACGTTGCTTCCGTTAGCGGTTCCATGAGAGAAGGTTGCGAGAACTCCCTGTGTTATATTGGGGTTATATTAGGGTTATGTCGGGGTTATAGGCGGATGATATTTGGGATGGTGGGTTGGGGATGCTGATCCACGCTAGCAAGTACGACGCATTGGCCTGTACCATGCTGCAGGCTATGCTGCAAGTAGATTTGCGCATGAGATGAAATGATATGGTAGTTTCCCTAAATAGGGGGACTCCATTATAGACCCAAAAATACTACTATCCAAAAAATAGGTAGCCCCCCAAAAAGGGTACCCCAATTTGGGAAATCCCCGCTTGTTTATGAGATGATATACATCAACAGAAGCTGGCATTAGCTTGTTGTTCAATACATGTTCTCGGGTTCTTGAGGTTGCTGCTAGTTGATGGTGCGATGCGTTGCCGTCCCGGCTTGCCGTCGCCGGCAAACTGGGTTGCGGTTGGGGAAGTTGAATGTAACTTATCAGAATATCGGCAAATAGTAGATTTAGTAAATCATATGGCCTTCTTGTTATGGTAATTGAATTCAAGTTTCCCAACAGCAACCCAGTAGTGGCAAATGAGCGGACGACATTGCGAGCATCTGACAAGCGCAGCCCACGGATTTAGAACCCCCTGACAAACAATACTTCATAAAGCAAAAGTATCAGAAAGGTTATGACCCTGAAGGGTGCTTGCCCTGGTGCAGCCCCAAGGAAAAGTTGCAGTTCTACGCTAGGAACTTTCAAGCAGCCCACAATCAGGCGACATCCCAGCATCCCAGCACGAGAACGACCCTTCCTGAAACCTTTTCGGGCCCTGTAAAAGTCTGCAATACCAAGACCAGAGAGTATGGGAGTGACTTTTTGCAACACCTACACCCCTAACCCTGTATATAGGGTTTAGGACTAAGACGATTATCCCCCTGTAATGGAAGATCAAGTGGAAAAGAAAATGGAAAATGAAAAGGAACCTGTGGTAATATAGGGGTACACCCTACATCCAATAGAAAATGGAAAATGAAACTGGGGTACTATAGGGGTAAGCCCTAAAATCCAATAAGGCAAGTAGCAAGTAGGAAGCCGAAAGCGTCCGTCTGCGGCACATTGTAGCCCCTCGGATGCAAACGCAGCACAATTTCTGCATGTTTAGGGTTCAGTATTATTACTTTAGGGTTTAGGGTTTAGGGTATTATTATTATTAGTGCTACACTACTATTATTGTTACTATGTTCAGGGCACATCTAACCTACGAGAAACTACATGGTTCCTACAACCTGATTAATATAGGGCCGGGGCCTGAATAATTACCAATATTAGGGTTACATATTCCTTACATAATTATGTTCTATGGTACCTCAAATGGACCTGTAAATGAGATTGGTTAGGTGGACCCCCCACCCAGTAATAGTGACTATAAGGGATAATAGGGATTATATCAGGGTCCTCTTGTATTCTTGTTATACCACTATTACAGGTGTCCTCCTAAGAGATTGGTAATTATTTAGGCCCCTGT